ACATTGCTTAATATTTTCCTCTCTCACATTTGGAGTTGGGTTCTTTTACTTCTATTTCTAAAAAGCTGAGAAAACAAATATTCTTCCAAGGATGTTAAGTTTCTTATAAAATAAACAGTGACTCAGCTGAAAGGTCAGAAAAGATTTCCCCAACAATATAATTTGAAAGGATTTTATTTAGAATATCTGCCCTGCCAGCTACAAACTCAGAATGGGACATTTGCCATGTTTGCTTTTTCAACTGTGATTTTATTCTGCTCCCCCAGCCCCCAATTTCAATGGGAATAAACAGAAAAAAAACCAAACAAGTTAATGTGTTATAAATATTTTAGTTCGAAAGCTTAAATTACATTTCGCTTCTAACAGTCAATGTGATGTGGCCATTCTTTCATTCATTCATGAGACTATTTTCAATATTGATTTAGCATCTGTTATATGCCAGGTACTGATTCTAGGTACTGAGACACTATCAGTCAGAAAAACTGCCACAAGAATGAAAATAGAGTAAGTCTAAGTGGTTAGGGGGTCATTTGAATGATAATCCAAGAAGGTACCCTGAGAGGTAACTTTTAAGATAAAATCTGGGTGATAATAAAAGACAGGAAGAAAGAGAATTCAGGCAGAGAACAGTAAGTGCAAAGGGTACTCAGAAACATGCTTGGCCTGTTCCAGGAATGGAAAGAAGTCCTGGAGGCTGTTGTCGTTAAATTAAGTTAGAATGCAGGTGGAGACCAGTTGAGTAGGGCTTGGGCTGAGGAGTTTGGGCTTCATTCTAAATGCAATGGGAAGCTACTAAAAGGTTCTAAGTGGGACAGTGACAGGACCCAGTGGGCATGCTAAGGTATGTCCAAATGAGCATCTGCAGTCACCTAGCTGAGTGGAGAAGCACAGAAGTACAGTGCTAGGCTTATTTTCGGTCATGGCCACTGACCTCAAGTGACCCTCAGTGCTGCCAACACATGCCCCTTGGTTATTCAGTCTGCCTCTGCCCTGGACAACTGCTCAATACCACCTTTCTCTGGAAACCTCTGGACCTCTTCAGTATCTAACCATGCTCTTGCTTTTCAGGTTGCCAAAAAAGTGGACATAATCAGGAAGGAACTTCCACCACCTTCCACGTCAACGCATGCACCAGTATTTGCACCCACCCCTCAGGGTTCTAAGTATCAACCCCATCATGCCCTCCCGTCTCACCTTCTCTAGCACATTCTCCAATCTGTTCTTTACATTCTCTGTGCCCACCCCTGAGTCATCATATTTTTAATAAGGTCTTCTGACTGCACCTTTCTTTCCAGCTTTTGTATTTATAGCAAAGTCCTTCTAAAGTTCTGTCATCCTTCTTGTGTACCAACTCCAATGAGGATTTTATGGCTTCCACTACCCTGAAATGGCTCTTTTTAACACCCTAAAGTCCTCTCAGTCTTATTCTTCCTCTTACACCATCTTCACGACCATCCCATGGTTGGACTGAGGGAAGTCCGTCCTCCTTGCCAAAATATCAGCTTCACTACCTTCAAGGACTCACTTTTTGGATGGGTCCACACCAGTCCCTGACTCAGCTTCAGCTAGGGCCATCGTCTCTCTCTCAGAGTTGGTGAACCCTGGGGCTTAGTCCTGTGACCACTTCTCTGTCACACTTACTGGCTCGATGATCTCGATGGTCTGTATTATCAATATGCCAGGGACTGTAAGTTTACAGTCTAGGTGTTAGTATCTAAGTTTATCTCTAGCTCAGATCCACTCCTGAATTTGGACTCCAAATGCTTTCCGAATGTCTACCAGATAGGCTTAGCATGTCCTAAATTAAACCTGTGTTTTGCCAAACTTATTCTACTCAGTTGTCAAACTTTTACTTCTCCTTGCTCTGCCACAAACCTTGGGGTCTCCCTGAATCAGTCTCTCTCTCACCCCATGTTCAGTCTATCAGGACGCTGTCTTGATTCTTATTTAAAGAGTGTATCTTCTGCTACTACCCAGATCTGAGTAATCATGAACTCCTTTCTGTATTATTGCACTAGCACCCTACCTGATCCTTTCCCTTCCTCATCCCCCTTACATCTTTTCTTTACACAGCAGCCAGAGTGATCCCTTTACTTTCCATCTAGCATAAAAGCATTACCACAGCCTCGAAGCCCTACTCTGCTCCCCTCACCCCCTTTACTCTAACAGCCACTCTGGCTTTTTTGCTATACCCTAGGCTCACCAGGCATGCTCAAGACTCAGGGGCTTTGTATTTGTCTTCTGTCTAGTTTCCTTCCCTTAGATATCCACCTGTCTCACTGTTCCAGTTCCACTTTTTCTGTCACCCTATTTAAGATCACTACTGTGTCCCAGACTTTCCAACTTAAGTTTTAACCCACACTGAAACACTCATTGACTTGGCTTATCTCATTACATTTAAATTTGTTGAGTGGAGATAATTTTGTATATTTTGTTCACTGATGTTTCCCAGCCCCTTGGCATACAGCTGAAGCTCTCTGTTGGAGGAATGAATGAACTGGATACAGGCGTAGGCAATGGAGTAGTTGGCATGACACATTAGCATGGCATGACACATCAAGTTTCAGTTTGAGAAACTGCACGGATGATGGGATAAGGAAGCCGAAAGAGGCCTAGGCTTCAGAGTGCAGGCGACATCAGTGTCTGTTTTGGATATATTAATTTGGAGATGTTCATTAGATGTTGAGTAAAGATATAGATCAGTAAGCAGTTGGATACGAAAGTCTGAAACTCTGGAGACCCTTTAGAGTAAATGTGGGTGGCCATCAGTTTGTAGGTGGTATTGAAGTTATAAAACCAGAGATCATCCAGTCAGAGAGCAAAGAGAAAGGAATGAGGCTCAAGACCAAGTCCTAGATTATGTCAACACACAGGGGTCAAGCAGAGGAGAGGGAATATCAGAAAGGTCTGGAAAGTAGTGAGGAAAGCTAAAATACAAGTCACTGAGGCCAAAAGACTTTTGTTGTAAGTGGCAAGACCAGGGAGGCCAAGTATAAACAGGGAGGTGATCATGGGCTTTTGAGGCTAAATATCAGTGGAATAAGGACAGAAGGTGACCAAAGAGGATGGAGAAAGAAGTGAAGACACCAGCTACAATCTGTTCCCTGAAGTTCTGCTCTGAAGGGGAGCAGACAAGTGGGTGGTCGTCACACCCTCCGCTGTCCTTACCCACCACTCCTACCATTCACCAACATCCCACTCACTTTTGCACCCTTCCTTTCTGGCTTACTTTCTCAAAAACCTGCACTTGGACAAATCTTGACAACCTCCCAGAACTGGAAACCACTGGACAGCCACTGTCCATGTTCTCACTTTCTTTCGTTCTTCTGCTGTTCAGGTGCATGGATGGCCACCAGAGCCACTCCCTTTCCTGTCTCTTTTCCTTCCCTAGCCCTCCCCTGTCTGTCATTCGGGCAAACCTCAGTTCTGATTAAACCAAATTTTAGCTTATTTTATCCTTTATCTGAGGAGCTAAATGTAGCTGTAGAAAACATACAATTATGCTGACCAGTCTTGTTTTAAATTTACAAGAACAATTTTCAAGCAGGTCTTTAGTAATGCCCTGCAATCTACTGTGGCTCCCTGGTGTGCTGACTTTCCTATTTTACAAGGTGATTACCTCACAGCTACATTCTCTCATCAAGCCTCCAGAACTGCCTCCCACTTTCTGTTGATGACTCTTTTTAGTGTACTGAGAAAAACAGAAATAAAAAAGACCACCTCATCCTCTCGCCATGAGATCTACTAACCTACCCACCTCTGTGCCTACTCTGCTGTAATGCTAAGGCCCGTGCTTTCATTTGTGCACTGACCCACTACCATCCATCTCCTCTTTGGTGGGATTTTTTTCTCTCACACAAAAAACTGCACTATTCTGCACTAAAAAAAAAAAAAAAAAAAAAAAAAAAAAAAAAAAAGTACCTCCCTAGACTCAAATTCCCAAGCACCAACCAATATCCCTGCTTGTACCTTTCAGTTCTCTGGAATTCTTATCCCAGTTTCTGACCTAATCCTCCCCTCCCCTACCCCAGGTTTAACCCAGGGCACTTAACCACTGAGCCACATCCTCATCTCTTTTTTATGTTTATTTGGAGACAGGGTCTTGCTAAATTGCTTAGGGCCTCTAACTTTGAACTTATGATTCTCCTGCCTCAACCTCCTAAGCCACTGGGATTGCAGGAGTGTGCCACTATGCCCGGCCCCATGTTACAGTATGATACAATCTCTCCCCCAAAGTCATTCTTTTCCCTTTTTACTGCTTACTTTTCCCACCAGCACTTTTACTTAAATTATATGCTTACATGTTTGTCTCCCCTGGGAAAACCTAAGCTTTGAAAGCAGGAGTCTTTATGCAGTTCCATCCTTTCCACCTACCAGGGCACAGCCACTTGATTAAGTGGTTAAATTATAGAAAAAAGATCTTTGAAAGATATTTGTAAAATAAAGATAAAATACTAAAGCATATTTTATGCTGGTGGGAATAACCTTGTAGAAAAGAACTTATTCATGCAGAAATGAGTGGACAATAAAGAAGCCAAAATATATAGATGTAAATACAGGCGTAGTGGTGGAATCTGAGAAATGGAAGAAAATGAGATAGGACTTGGGATAAAATCTCCACTAGTTATTTTTTATTTTTTGCAGTACTAAGGATTGAACCCAGGGCCTTTTTTGTACATGTGAGGCAAGAGCTCTACCAAATGAGCTAAATCCCCAGCCCTCACTTTGGTTCTCTTTCTAACCCTTGGAAGCCTGGCCTGCAGAGTCATAGGGGTTGTGTTCTGAGAACACACCCTAACTTACACCTTACTTTTTGCATGACATTGACCCAGGTTCTAGGGTTTATATATTTCATGATATAAGAGGCTTCACAATAAAACATTTTTGCATAGCCAAAACATTAAAACTCCAGGGTGATTTAAAAAATAACAGCATGCCTATTTTTTTTCAAGTATGGAAACTAAGAATGACATTTTCATGAGTGCTTCTTTCTCTTTCAGGAACTATGTGAAAAACAACATTTGTTTTATGAGTCATCACCAAGAAGAATTAATGCCAACACAGCTTCAAAAAAGAAAACCCCAAGAGCAGCTCCTGGAGTGTAAAAAGCTGTGTGGAAGGGGACAACCAAAGCAGCTTTCTCCAGAGACCTAATGGCCTCAAGGCCTTAGGAATGCTGATACAGGATGAAAGCACTACCAGTGGCATATTTACCCTCCTCTCCCCACCCCCAGGTTTTTATTCAGTGTCGTAAGCTATTTTTAAAGAGACACCTGAAATTATAGACTTCCTTTAATTCCCTCTTCCCCAAAGGAATCTCAAAAGGTAGATGAGATACATGGCCCTATTTTTTTTTTTTTTTTGAGCAAGATATCAGGTTAAAGAAAACACTGGCTGGTTCAATACTTTCTCCTTCACACCGCAGGCTTTTAAAGACTAATTCCTAGTTAGGAGATCAACCTTTGCCTTAAGCTATGTATGGAGGCCAGTTGAAGCTTTATTATTCAGAAACACAAGTGTTCTGGATCCAAGCTTACATTTTTGCCTACTAAGATACTATTTGCACTGGGTCTCGTGTAAAAAAGAACCAGGACACGCAATGTAGACAATTTAGTTACACACGTGTTCTAGATTAGGATAGGCTCCTGGCTAGGATTTTGTGGCAATTCCTAGTTACAGTTCTACAAGAATAAAGATTATGGGAGCTTATCTTATGAATTATGAAGTAAAATTTAATGCAAAATATACTACTATTATGACTTTCATGTTAATATGAAATATTAAAAGAAAATTCTGTGTGATACTTGAGAAAAATAAGCATTTTCCATTTTTTTAAATGATTAAAGAGGACAATTTTAAAATCTTGGGACCATATTTATTTAGAAGTAGCTATTAGTAAAACACCAGAAAAGGAATCAGTCCATTAGGTTATTTATCTAAATCTCTAAGCAATTAGGTTTATGTTATTAGGTCAAACCTATAAATTTTCTCCTTGGAAGACTCTCATAATTTTTAGTAATCCATGGTTTCCTGCAATTCCTCCCATGTCTCAGGAATATCTCTACCTCAGGTTATGGCAGAGAGGCTATAAATGATGCTGACGTTCAGAACAATACAGACATAATAAATGACATTCAGAAATTAGGACAATTCCCTATGTTCTTCTCTGTGATGAAACAAGAGATGGCCAACCAAAGCAGCAAACATCCAGTGGGATTTTTACCCAACAGTAATGAATTGCTCTATTCTGCATTTCTCCAGTTGAATTTAAGACTAGATAAGTATTTCATCAAGAGAATTCAGAATGAAAGAAAATCCATAATAAAGAATCTAGAACCACTTAAGTAGAAACCCATTAGATTACTAATATAAACTATGGAAGACACATAAAAACTTTTAATGCATGAACAACCTAACTTGAAAAATAATTTTTAAAAATGATTGATCATAAGAGAATCCTTCGTATCAAAACCCCAGTATTTAGCTAACAAACTGTCCCAGTTTGATAAAAGGTACATGATCTACTAAATTCTCTTATTTAAAAAGTGGAAAAGACTATAAGTCTATATAAATAGTAAATCATTAATATCAAAGACTCAGGAAAATGGCTAAAAGTATGGTTCTGAGATGTGCCATCTAAAATTAAAAGTTGGCAGGAAGGAGCAAAATAGATATTGATTCCCCCATATGCAAATTAGAGTGTGCTTTTGTTTTGGAACAAGAAGGCAAAATGTGTTCTGCAGAGGATCAGTTTAACTTAAGAGTTACATGCCAGGATTTTAAAAATACAAGTCAGGTTTTCATGTTATCTTGGTTTTGTTTGTTTTTTTCTAAGCATCACAGATTGTTTAAGGTATTTTTTTTTTTTAAATTGTAACATAATTCCTTTCAAGTTCAAACACCATTTATACTTAAGCTATTTCTTGGTTTGGCCATTCATTGCAAATGGGCAGAAAATAAACCAAGAAAGTTTACTACTAGTGACTTTAACTTCAGTGTCTTAAACATTCTCTTATATTTTCCTTTTATCATCCTGAGTTTGTGAGCAGGCCATTTTGTCTTCAGATTCATTTTTACCCAATACCTGTCCCCCCCACCCACCAAATGAAGCCTTTTGGTTTTCAAAAATAAAAAGGGGGTAATACTTATAATTTGTATGTATATATTCACAGCTTTTATTTATATAAAAAATGTACAGTACTTGTGTAAAGCCAGAAGACATCAGACACACTTGCTTCTTCCCAGCTTTGTCATGCTTAGTGGATCACCCACAAACACTGCCAGGTGGTGAGCATACATGTAGCAATCTAAATCCAGACCTGTTCAGGCTAGCTTTCCTCTCCATCAGATAAAGCATTTTCATTTCTACTGATCTGCAAGGTTCTCAAGTCATCTGAATACTGAAAATGTTAAATTACCTGGATATGCACCTTAGTTGTACAATTCTTCCCCCCCACACACTATTTTTTGTGAACACTGCAGGACAGTTTACTTATGACTGTTTATTAAAACTAAGTGGAAAAATCTCAAATTTTAAAAGTCTACCTATAATTCTTTCATCTAGTAATATTCTTTGTATTTATGAGTTTAGCTATCCTACTGATCTTGAAATGAAGCAAATAAACACAAATGTAGGAAAAAAAAGAATAAAATTCTAAAACACACACACTTGAATCTTTCATAAGAAATAAAGTATAAAAGTTAGCTTTTGCCTCCTACATTTGAGGGAGTGACAGGGTAGGGGAAGGCTTTGAGAGAAGGAAGATAAAAATATACAGAAAATATTGTTCAGTGCAGTGCTTAAGCTAGGTTTTCAAGGTTTTATAATATGGTATGGAAAATGTACTGAACATGAAGGTTCAGATGTTGTAAGATTTTACAAATGTTTCACGACATTTTGGTAATTCAGGTTTTCGGGACACTGTTGGAATACTGATTTTACTAAATTTCTACTGAGAAGCTGATTCAACTCTACACAGCTGTATTTCTTGGTAAAACCACTGTTAATTATGCTAAACTCCTACATGTAAGAAGAGTGCAACTGCAGACTGATCGATCCTGTGCTACCATTCCAAGGCTCAGGGTGAGCCAGAGGCCACTGCTTCATAAACACTTACTTATAATAATTTTAAGCGTTGCAATCCTATCCACTGAATTGCCACTCTTTAGCTCCATTAAATAAGACACAGTAAAGGGAAAGACATAACTTGCAAAATGGCTTTCAAGTTCAAGTTCAACTATATTATAATTATACTGTGGCACAGAGGCAGCTTGTGGGCACTTCTTGTTAAAACTACACAATGTTATCAACTCCTGACAGGACTCTTAATATAGCCTTGAGCACCAAGAACCTTAATCACTTCCCTACAACTACAGAGTCTCTCCAGAATAACAAAGGTAACAGATGAGGTACCACCCATCACAGCTTCTTTCTCATATTCATCTAGTGGGAAAGAGGCTTCTTTTTTAAAAACTACAATTTCTTAACTTTTAAAAGTTATTTAACATTTTCTATCATATTAAATTAGGAACATAAAACATTATCCTTTATAAAGCCCTACCCAGTTCCCTAGAGTATATACAAGTGTTTACTTCTAATCCCCAAGAAAAAAATTTCCTATTTGTTATTTGGTAACAGAGCATGAAAAGATACTTTACACACACAGCATATACATATATATATATACAAAATACACTTCAAAAATAAGCTAACACACTTTAGCCAAAGTCTAAACTTGCATAGATTTAAAAAAAAAAAAGAATTATGAATACAATTTTTGTTAAAATAGAAAATGGGGAATAAAAGTTACAGAATGGATATGAATAAAGATCTTTTCCAAACTTTTATTTGTGCACATTCAATTGAAAAAGATAACTTTTACAGGTTCTTTGGTGCCCATATTCAGCATACAAAAATGTAAAAGACTATTCACAAATAAAACACATTAGCTCAAACTGGAAAAAAATTACAATGACAACAATAAAACAATTTAAGGTAGTGCACATTGTGACAGCTCTGCTTATGGGGACATGAGAATTACTGCGAAAATAAATAGAATGTCCTTTTGTAAAAGCAGCAATGTCATGTCTTGTAAACTTCCTTTTTATATTACAGCAAAGTTTGAAATAAAATCCAAAGGGACTGGAGCTTACACTGTAGCCGTGAGTGAATAAAAGAGTCTATTTCCTCAATTACTGTTGGTCCAGTTTTCCTTTTGCTTTGAGTCCAATGTGCAGCAGGTTTTAAAAGGTGCTCAGTTAGAGATTCTAACCAATTAAGTGATGAGTTATAAAATTTCTTTCCTGCTTTCAAACACAAATGGGTATATTTGTTCCACAGCAGTAGCCACAGCCTTTACATTGGGCCCTGAAATGAACACAATTGAAAAGGTTGAGAAGAGCTGAGAAGCTAGGAAATACTGATTTTTCAGTTAAAAATATCATCTACTTTAGAATATCAAATTCACATACATCATCATACAAACAACCACAAAAAGAATCAAGAAAAAAATTTTAATAGGAATCAGAGAACACAATTTTTTGTGTGTGCATAATTAAAAGAAATCTGAAACACCAAATGTGTTATTCATTTTGTTTTAGGGTACCAGTATGAAAAGAAGTAAAAATAAACAAACAAAACTACCCCATCATGGAGGAGAATAAAAAGCACAAAAATATGCACAGGGAAGAATAACACACAGGACTAGATACCCACTATCTTTTTTGTTTACTGTTTTCTAGCTTTTGGTTAGACTACAACTGAGACTCAGAGGAATATGGAGGAACATAGCAAAGTAAAATAAAGCTGCTATTGAAATATTGGCTTTTTTTATACTATGTAGTCTAAAATTCCTCATAAATTTACTATTACTTGGAATGCATTTTTATTACTAATTCGGTCCAGGTAACCTCAGAGTTAATCCAAATCAATGAGTGGGGAAGACAGTGAGGTAATGCTACATATAAATTAATCTGTACAGCTCTGGAACAACTTTTAAAAATATAATCTTTTATTTATTTAAGTAGCTAAAAACAAACCAAAAAAAAGGTATAAAAATATTTTCACAAAATTTTGAATAAAATGGTTTCACCAATGTATAATTACCCATTTTGAAAAACTGTGAATATTTACAGATCCACTCATTGTAGATTCTAAAGGTTTTGAACATGTCTTGTATTGGTCTGCTCTTTTCTGACTCACCTCACCTCACCCCCTCCACATAGTATAGAACTTTCCTTACAGAAACCATTCAGAAGGTGTTCACTGAATTGTTAACATTTCACAGGATATTCCAGGTGTCCATGTATATTGCATGGTAATTAACTAGGTCAACTGTATTCAATTTGTTGTTATATTGTCTAATTGTCCATCAACTCAATAAACAAATTTTTACACATGAGTTCTTAATTCTATACTTAGCAGGACTTAACAGTACTTTGTGGATATTCTTAGAAGTTCAGGTTCCAAAGTATAGAAACAGATAGCTGAAAGGGAACGAACAGACTTGTTCTCTACCACCCGGTTTTTAAGATTCAGGCAGGATCCTGGCAAGTGGCTTTAAAAGTTCCCAAGGAAGATGTGAAAACCCACAGATGGTCAAAATTAAAACTTACTTGTTAATGTTTCTCCTCTAAGAATTAAAGGAATAAAAAGCCATTTTGCAAGACTAAAGAATTGTTCCTCAACTCAATTTTGCCTAACATGCACCTACTGGCTCTCATGCAATGCCTCTGCTTGATTCACAATCACAGCACCTTTAAGAATCATCTTGTATGCTAATGCTGCCCTTTGACATGTTTGCTAGTCTCCCAAAACTACTCCTTCCCAAATACTTGTTTTAATTTCAAAAGATATAACAAAACACATGTAACAAATAGGTACCAATTATATTTGGATATTCTAATTATGTAAAAATCTCTATGAAGTTCAGAGACTGGGTTTCTCTTGGTTTTTTTTTTAGGTTTTCTTAATTTTAAAAAATACTATGAAGATACATATTAGAATGTTCTTAAAAGCTCCAATCTGAAAACTAATGAAACGCCTATGGAGTACATTCGGACACTGGATTCTATACAATAATGAGAATGAATGATCTCACTAAGATAATGGAGAATGAAATTAAACACAAAACTGGATATAAAATGTACAAATAAAAAGGAGGGAAGACTTATCTATAAGGTAAAAAGACGACTTAGGGCTGGGGATGTGGCTCAAGCGGTAACGCACTCGCCTGGCATGCGCGGGGTGCTGGGTTTGATCCTCAGCACCACATAAAAATAAAATAAAGATGTTATGTCCACCAAAAAAAACTAAAAAATAAATATTAAAAAATTCTCTCTTAAAAAAAGGTCAGAAGACTTACTGCCCTTGAAGTGCAGAAGTAGTGACTGAAAGGGGACAAATTAGACATTATTTCTATCTTAGTGTACACATCTCTTATATTATTTGGTCTGTAATTTGACAAGTTTGGTTTCAACATCACACATTACCTGTTACTGTGATACTTCCTGTTGAAAAAATCTGTAATGTAGCTCTTAGAGACTTTATCCGATAGCACACAGCAGGATGAAGTTCAGGTTCATAACTATATTTTAAAAATGCCAAAATTAATATGAATATTTACAGGTGATGGGTAATCTCAAATTTTTAAGTTATCTTGATTCTTCAAAGACCTACCTGGCATGAGGTCTATTGTTCTTTGTGAATTCTGGCAAACGGATTTCAAAGGGCATGTTACAAACTGCCAAAACATTAACAACCTTAAAATCTGTAAATATTACCTTTGGGAGAGAAGTGAAACTCAGTGAATTATTTTGCAACAAAAGAATCTGCTCATCATGGCACTCTTTATTAACTTTCTACTCTTATACAGAGAACCAAACATCCTGAGTATGAATTTAGTATTATAAGTTGTTTAGTATTAAAAGCTGTAATTCAATGAAAGAAAAAAAGCTCAAAAACTTCATTTAAAAAAATAGTAAAATCTGAGATATCTGCATGATTAAAATGGCACATTTGAGGATTTTTAAGTCTTGTATATAATTTGTTAATTTAAATGAGACAGTTTGAACCATCAAAGAAACAAGAATAGTAAGGAAAAAATTAAAGCAAGAAATAGTAAAGAAAAAAGTTAAATTAATTCTTCCTTTTTAAAGGAGTCAAAATGGAAAAGCTGTCACTTTAAAAAGTCAGTGAATGGAGAGATTGTACATTGGATTCCAGATGTTTTTTTTAATAATCATTAAGGTAAAAAGACATTTCCTTGAATGTAACTAGAGGTTTATTTTCCTTGGGGTCTAGAATCATACACTGTTTTTAAAAAGCTGGGTTTGCCCTCAATGTTTCTAATCCTATTCTAAGAAAAGCAGTTCCCAGGCTGAAAATGTTCTCTTCACATTAATAACTTCAGCCACTCCTACCAACATCTTGAATTGTTTCATCTCCTTATCTTTTCCAACATTCCTCCTAAAACCACAATTTTGGGTGCACTGTCTATCCTCCAAGTCAGTATTACTTACACAAGGCAGTAGAAAGCCAGAAAAGTGTCAAGTGGCCTCACTATCACATAGCTTCACCTCTAGACTTCTACTGCCACTCTCCTCAAGTGCCAGCATCCCCCAGGCCCTGCCCCACTCTCCACCCCCACTCCCCATCAGCAGAGTTCAGCTCCTTCTAAGACTTAAGGTCATCAGAAAGAAACTAAACTTCCTAACACTATAAACATCCAAATCCCAAACAGCCTGGCCCACATCTTCAAGGACTATTTCGCCTTTCTCTTCTACTTAGTCATCATTTGCAAGTGATCTAGCAGGTTCATAATAAATAATAATTTATTTCAAAGTTTTGTCTGTACAAATATTTGAAAAGGCCGACAGCAATAAGCCTGCTAACCAGTGTGTCCACGTCACCAGGGCCTTGCAGGTCTGGCATTTTTGACAATTAACTTGAAAGGGAACAAGTTTCTTTAAAGGAAAGGAGATTAGGAAAAGCCAGGATCTTTTTAAAATATCCACATAGCCAAGTTTTGCTACCAAATTTTCATGCTGAAGGGCAGTATATAAAACTCAGAAAAAGTCAATCATATGAATTCTATTTTACAAAAATAAATCCTTGAATATTTGCAGTTTTGTGTAATTTTTGAAAATATTACCTGAAAACCTAATTTCTGCAGACTGCGGGCTAAACGTCTGGCACCAAATTTAGCTTCTTCTTCACTATGTTTTAAGGAAAGAAAAAGACCAAGTTACACAGGAAAAAATACTTCATACTGAGGAACATAACCAACTTTACATAGAACTTTGTTTTTAAGTCTATGAAAAGTACCCTTTCCATGGGGGGAAAGTAAAAAATAAAAAACTAAGAATCCAAGAAACATTTACCTTGTTGCTCCAGTGCAAATAATTTTTCCTGAGGACCAAATTGTAGCTGTAATTCTAGGTTTCCTAAGCTTCATTAATACTTTCTGGAAAAAAAAATAATCTGATTACTTAATGATTGTTAATTTTCATGTATGGTTCTATTTTGTGTAGCCATGCCAATGTCTAAGTATTATTCCAAGCTTATTCAAAGTTAACTTCTCTCTAAATCACCCAAAATGAAATTTAGTTCAAGACTGAATAGAGAACACAATTAATCTCATTAAATATTTAATTAATTAAAAAACAAGATCCACATAAATTTCTCACTACATACTTGGTATCAACAAACTATAAAAACAAACAGTTCAACTCTTTCTACTCTAGTCACATCAATGGAACTTTCATGGATCCTTACACATGCCAAATCTGTTTGCACATCAGGAGCTTTGGAGAAGCTGTGTCTTACATTTGGAACATTCTTCCCTCAATATCTTCACTTCATTCTGATCTCTCACCACACATGACCTCCATACCGACCCTGATCAATCTATGGTAACACCCATTCCTTCACTGTTCTCTAATTTGTAGCCCTGCTTTATTCTGCTTCATGGTACCCATCGCTACATTATATTGCATCCTAGAGTTGAGAAGCCTGTTACATGCTCAAGCTCCTCACTGAAATCTTCAGAGCAAGAGAAATGTCAGAACGAGAAATGTAATTTTAGATTCCTTATATATAAAAGGCATTTAAAGGTCTGGGATAGAACAAAATTATCTACACAGTCTGAATTAATAGGTCAAAGATTAAGGTCTAAGATAATATGTAAATTTAAATTTTCATTTTAACTTTTCATTTATGGAAATACTTATTACATGCCCATTATTATGTGTAAGAAAGAAATAAATGCTTACTGGGATAAAGTAACATAATAAATCATGCATGTCTTCTTAAAACTCTAGTTACATTTTTAGTTTTTTTGTCATAGGCAATATTATCAAATTAGAACATTACTAATTTGGAGAGACTTAAAACTGCCAAAAATGACAATGAATAAAATACCTCATAAAATTTCATACACGACTGACTGAGAAACATTGGACTGAGTTTATATTGCATTTAAATGTTTCTCACCACCAGTTTCTCCATCACCTAAAACTTCTCAGTCAACCTTCCTAGAAAAAAAAAAATCTCTCCATGTCATCATGCTAAAATACTAGAGCAATGTTTTACATTTTCCTTTCTAAACTTTTTAGAAGACAAATTTATTCCTGTTTTAAAGGGAAAATCATATCACTGGTGAACTAGAAAGGCTTTAATTGTGGTTCATGGAACATTTTAATTGAATTTAATTCATTCTAATTTTGTTTCTAGTACTAAGAACTAATTATAATTTACTTAGTTACACTGGCATTTAATTTTTAGAGCTTCAAGAAAGCCTTCAGATACATTATTAATTTTCATAATAGATGTATAAGATTAATTTATTCATCAATTTCTGTTTATATAAACCAAATAAATATCCATTGTTATTTATGTTGTTAATCTCAAAACCCTTAAATTTTATTACTACTTATTAATAGTAAAGGCTTTTATTTTAAATGTTACAAGCTGAATAAAAACTAAAATTTTAATATTCTGGACCGTATTATTTTTAACAACTTGTCAAGAAAGAAAATTATCTATCTATCTTGGCTACTAAAGAACAGTATGACAGCTAACATACTACAAAAAGTATATATTAGAGCACTATTCAAATATAATTAAATTTAAGTACATTTGAAATATAAAGGTCCCTTTCTTCAGTTCAAAGACATTGAGAGATCTGCCTGTTGAACAAGCTGTAAGAACACTAAGGAAACACATTTTTCTCCCTCCCCATCCACACATGCCTACTCCCCCAGCCCTAGCCTAGATTCTGGAGTTGAAATTGCAAGAGAATCAGTGATGATTAGTCACCTTAGCAGTAAAATCTTCCTAAAATTCATGGCCTTTTTGTAGATTCAACAGAGTTATATGAATACACAAAGAAATGTATATATCTATACAGGTATAGATGTATAAATTTACCAAAAATCCTGATAGAAGTATATACAGGAATCATGATTTCTCATTTTACAAGTAAAAGGTGCTTTGCAGATAAATTACAAACCAGAAATATTATCAAAGTAGTGATGGGTGACTGGTAAACAATCTTTAGAATTATTTCTGAGGATAATTTTAGCAGTTCTAATGATCCTTTCTTAAAGAATGCTATCTTTCTGAGTGAAACATATGTCAGCAGAGCCAGATAAAAGTCTAATAAACACATATCTAATTATTTTTAAAAAACTGACAGAATAACATGTCTAACCAATGAATTCTTTGCTAAGACTCAAAGATAGGTTATTTCCAAAATTTGCTACCTCCATGAGAGGAGGGGCCATTGTCTTCAGGACTCAACAACCTATGGAGTACAACTAGCACATAGTAAGGTATTCATAAACTATCTGTAGTATCATTCATGGAAGTATAAAATTAGGTTATGATAGTACACATACAAAATTCAAATACTTACCCCAACATCACGCTTATAAATTACATTTGCTCCCTCCAAAGCAATCTTTCTTAAGTTCAAATGGCATCTTGTTCTAAAAACACAGACTACATTTGTAATTAGAATGTCCAATGCAACATCACTGTCTGCATCCATTGGGGTAGTTTAAAACTTAGCTTCTGGCCACGAAGATCACATCCTGAGAAATAAAACAAAATAAAAGTCATTAAACTCCTTTACTAGACATTCATTAATTCTTTACTCACTGATACTTCCTGTTATGCCAAGGACACTAAAGGAAAAAAAAATGAATAAGGCAAACTCTGTTGTCCTCAAGGAGCTAACATACTTGTGTGTATAAGCAAAGCTCTAACAAATAGTTTTTCAATACCAGTATTAATTTTATAAGACTCTCATGATAACAGCATTGATATAAATAAATAGGCAAGCCCTACATTTTACTAAGCACATGATCTATAGCCAGCTAAAAAATGCTATTTGGGTTTTAGCATTTTAAAAATTAAACAATGGATATTTGCCTTTTCTAACTCTCACCTTCCATACATACAAATCAGCAAATATATTATGATTATTTTATGATTCTTTGAAGACAAAATATGAAAAACTAGTATTCTATACAAGGATTTGAATTATTATATGACTAAAACAATAAGCATGCCAAGAGATCAAAGAGAAAATTCCTTCTTTTTTTGCCTTTTATTTTCTAATAAAGCAGATAAACAAGACAGAGCAAGTCTACTTACATCTCTATAAAACCACATTCAATTTTCTATCAATTGTTCCCACACTTCACTAGATTTGCTTTTATATTCCCATATTCCCTTTACTGTGCATATAATTTTGTTTTTGTTTCTTGTGTATGTCTGAGCTACCCCAAGTCATTTCTACGTACACAAGGTGGGGCAAGGGTAGCAGTGGAGACTGCTGTGCCTTAGTGCTGTCATTTGTAACATGAAATAGTGCCTACCAGAGTGGTGTGAATATTGCATAAAAACTGAATGAGAGAGCTGGGGGTGTCGCACAGTGGTAGAATGCTGCTTAAAACCATGAAGCCCTAGGTTCAATCCCCAGATTAGAATAAAAATTTTTGAAAATGATAATAATGTATGAAAAGTAGGAAACACATATATTTGGAAAATAACAACACAGTAAATGATAGTGGCTGTTGATGAAAGTACAAATCAACAGGCAGATCAGAGATTTCCTCATATTACTTGCCATGATTATATTATACTATAGCCAATTTATCAAGCCATCTGATCACTACCAAGCTTTTTCCTACAAAAACTGTGAAATAACTGTGAGGCAGAGGCTCTAGGGTGCTTATTCTAACATCAATTTTACTCTTCCTTTATAAGGACCAGAATCCAGATGTCTAGCTGGGTACACTGTAATAGAAATAAAATACTAGAGAATTCAGGCTCCTTGGCAACGGACACAGTCAAGTGCTCACAAGACTATGTTCTGGTTCATGATACACAAATAAAATGGTTACTGTTTCCTGGGATGTCTGCTTAGAATGACAAGCTATGCCACCAAGGATTCCTTTGCCTTTCTGTCCTTCATTCTTGCTGCTTAGAATTTGGTTATGAGCGCTAAAGCTGAAGTAGCCATTTGGTACCATGGAACAATGAGATGAGACAGAAGAAGCCTGGTCCTGATGCTGTGCTCTTATTAATTCTGTACTTCCTAACTCTAGATCTCATATGTGTGAGAGAAAATCAATTCCCCTCATTTTGAGTTTTTGTTATATGTGGCCCAATATAACCTCCTACACAGCTCTGAGGCTACAAAAACCAAATACTTAAGGAGAAACTTTAAATGAAGAATAAATAAAGTTTACTGTTTCATGACATACTTAAAACAAACTGACTCAGGTTTACTACTTGAAGTTTTAAAGCTACTAAATTGCCTGAGGGGAACCATACAAGGACAATATGTAGGATTAAAAACAGGAAATAAGAGGTAAAATAAATCTTTATGAATGCAAAGAAGCCTTGAAATTAATCCAAGATTGACAACGGTTTTTACATGCCAGCAACTTAAATTCTAAAAATGAAGTCATAGGAATATTTCATTCTAAATTATAAAGTGGTTATAGTTTAGACAAGTAAACTGGCATGCAGGTTCAGACAATACTATGGCTTTAATAAGAAGTTTCTATAATCAAAAATACAATAGGAAAGCAGTACTTAAAAAACAAGTCTGCCATCTTAAGAGATGGCATTTAACAAATATTCACTTTTAAACATATACCCTTTTAAAAAAGGTTAACTAAAAAGGCAGTCCAGTGAAACAGACAATTTTCAATTTCTACAAAGCATCTAGGGGCCTATTTTATCTCTTCCAGTTTTAAGTGTAAATAATACATCAGGGGTTTAAAAATGTCTACATGAATATTAATAGTTCAAAATGCTTACGTTACTCCTGAAAATATACACATATAACTTTGTTTAAATTAAAACAACAAAATAGTTATAAGAAAATGGTAAAAACTAATTCCTACTTGGGAAGAAATATTCCAAATGGCCTCTATTATGTTATCTATGATTTGGCACCTAGATCATCTATTTCCCACAAATTTTAAGCTTCGTGAGGTCAAATACCACATCTTAAATGTGGTATTACATATTACATATGGTATGTGTCCGTAAGTGTCCACAGCTCAACACTGCATCTGGCAAAGAGTAAATGTTCAGTTATTATTTGGAAAGGAATGGTATAAAATCCAACATTTCAACCCCATATCTATATCTAAACAATTTCTTTTTATTCTAGGAATGAAAAAAAAAAAAGAACTTGTTAGCAAGGCTGAAAACATTACCAAAGCCACCTATTTTCATATAAATGTAAAAGAACCTTCTTCTTCCCAACAAGCCCTTTAACACAATATCCATGAAAATGTGTATGAAAAGTATGCTATTATACTTATTTTTTTACTAGTTTGTACAGCTCCAAAAGGAATATTTAAGCCATTCTACAGAAAATGAGGTATTTTTTTTATTTATGTGACAGCAGAATGCATTACAATTCTTATTACATATATAGAGCACAATTTTTCATATCTCTGGTTGTATACATAGTATATTCACACCAATTCATGTCTTCACACATGTTCTTTGGATAATAATGATCATCAGGTATTTTAAAGTAACTCACAAGTTGTCAAGCCTGCTAACTGAAGTATTACTGCATGAAATATTTAATATATATGAAAGAGCAAAAAGAATATTACAATGGACATCTATGTACCCACCATTCACCTTCAAAATTAAACCTCACAATTTATGTTTCCCTGAAGGTACTTCTCCTGTTATCACATTCTCATCCCTCCTCCCCTCCACAGTAAACTTCTACTATCAATTTTTATCATTCTTATACATTTTTCTTAATTTTTTTTACATGTATACATATTATGTCCCAAAAGGAAGTAAGTCATAATTTTTGAAAAATATACTGATGTATCTGATTTGCTAATACTTCATTTAGGACTGCTACACCTATATACAGAAGTAGAATTAGCCTATACTAGTCTTTTCTTATACTGTCCTATCTGGTTTGGGTGTGGAGATTATGCTAGACACATTGGACAAGTCAGGAATTTCTTTTCATTCTTAAATTCTCTGGAAGACAGTTCAGAAGACCTTATTTTAAAATTATGTGGACCTGTTTCTTGCTTGTTTGCTAGATAGATTTCTAGAACACTAAATCAGTTTTTTAAAGAGTTTTAATACAATTGATGTCCTAATTCTTTAATCAGTTTTGCTAAACTAAATATTCCTAGGAAATTTTCTATTGTTAAGTATTTTAACTTAATTTGGCATGTAATTCTTCATGGTTTTCATAATAATCTTTAAAAATTTGTTTTGGTACAGTTAAATCCTTTTTAATTCTAGTATCCTTTATTTGTGCTTTTTTGTTTCCCTCAATCTTGCTGAAAGGCTTTACGACTTTCTTCAAAGAACAAAACCATAAGCATTTGATCCTCTCTGTTTAATTATCTGCCTAACTTCTTATATTGGAAAATAAGGTGAATGCTTACTATGTAATTTTATTTTTTCCTCTTTTCTTGCATGAATACTCAAGGCTACTGTAACCCTGTGTTTTAAGTATTACTAAAGTTGGATATACAGTGTTTTCATTGATCCCTTACTTTTGGTAATATTTAAATTCTATGATTATTTTTCTTAGATTAAGTTAGTATTTATAAGTTCTCTGTATACATTCACGCATATACATATTAAACTTATGAGCAACTGAGAAAACGCTAAGAAGAAGATATCATTTATTCATACTAGTAAACACCAAGTAGTGCTGACAAAGGTGCGAGTAAACCAAAAATTCTCTTAAATTTGGAAAAAAAAATTCTTCATGATTATTCAAGTAATTTCAAATGTCAATATACATATGTGAAATTGTAGTCAAGCTTGGTAATAAACATGCATCTTGATAAACAACTGAACTGAGCAAATTATAAACAAGACTATACACAAAAATTCTGCTAATAATATAGACAATCTGTAAGTCCATCTAGAAGGAACTGCTTAAATAAAGTACAAGTCTCATATAATATACTGATAAATGTATTTTATAAAGTATAAAACTACAAGGGCTCAGACAGATCCATAATGCTTGTTAGAGTAACAAAATATTACCTAAGTCTAATGATATTTCATTTTTTTATCTATGTAGGTATGCATTTCTATACTTATATCTGCCAAAATGTTAACAATTGTTCTATTAGAATTGTCACATCAGGGGGCTGGGGATGTGGCTCAAGCGGTAGCGCGCTCGCCTGGCATGCGTGCGGCCCGGGTTCGATCCCCAGCACCACATACCAACAAAGGTGTTGTGTCCGCCGAGAACTAAAAAACTAAAAAATAAATATTAAAAATTCTCTCTCTCTCCCCACTCTCTCTTTAAAAAAAAAAAAAAAAGAATTGTCACATCAGTATCTTTATTATTTTTCTTCTACTTTGTTTAGTAGAGTTTGATTTAAAAAAAAACAGCAAATATGTTACATTTACTATAAAGAAAAATAAAAGTTACTTCCATTTATATATAAACATCAACAATTTGCTCACGGCCATAGTCTAATACTAAGATTTGGTTTGATCAAGTGTTTTTGCCTGTTTCTTGAGTAAATGCCTGGTATGAGTTGGATTTGTTAAATGTTAC